ATTGGTCGAAATTTAGATGTTGTCTGATTCTGCCTAAGTCCTTAAGTCCAACAGGGGTCGTTTGGGGGACCTTTGTAACGGCCACCTGTTACAATTATTACTAGTTACCTGTATGTGTTTATTCCCACCGCTATCATTACAAAGTACTATGTAGAAAGACATCTTACCTGTGGCGACGACAATATCAGTGACTCTATCACAACTTGTACATACAACACTTGGTTTCTGAAAAGTACCAAATGGTATAAGGATCGGTGGTGATGTTAACCTGGTGTCGTTGTAAGCTTCCTGTGGATAGGTCCGTATCCAACTGCTACCACATTTTTTTCCCAGACTTGACCATGTGACGTAGTATCCAGTTTGGTTCTGTATCAGGCGGACATCGTGGGCACACGGTTCTGGATCGGAGCAAGAGGAATATAAGGTCAAGTGAAAAAACAGGAGAATCAACAGATATTTGATTGATCAACAGGTTTCAGATATACATCAAATCATATGACTAATCCGGATACTTTGGCGCTTCATATCGTTATTGTTTCAGGATACTTTAAATCAACCAGATGACATATAACCAACAGGAGCAGAATAATTAAAAAAGTGAAATGAATACGACAACGTCAGTAGATTTAGCCTGTGTTTTATGTTACTGCCTCGTGTAGACGAGTAGATGAATGTAGCATGTTAACAGGAATAATTAACAGAGGTACACCATTCTAGTATCGACAATGAACATTGTTACATACCTCCTGAGGTGAGTGTGATCCAGACAATGGTAACAATCGCTATACACCACAGCACTGTATCTCTGAACATTGTAGACACTGGAAATATATCTGTGTGATCACAATTGTCTACACGCTTACTTTACTGTAGCTGGTCGTCTGAAGTCCATACACATACTTCCGGATTGGGGCTCGTCTTTTCTTAAGGACACTTAAACAGACATATAACTCTCTGACACAAATGCACCCGACCTCGCATCACCAGGATGCGTAAGCTTTGCACGCCCCAATATGCGATATATGTGTTGATTTCTAAGAGTTAGGAGGATAACGTGGGAATATCAGTGCCAGATAATGCTAACAAATCAAACTAAACAACAGCTAGGACTGGCTATAGTCCTGTTAATGGGCATGGGGATAAGTAACACAGTACCCTGTTGGGGTCCACGACCCAGAATTGTCAGCTCCTAGTATGGACACGACGCTATTATAGTGTAGTTAATAAAGAGCCATAAAGTTAACACTACTTAGCGTATAGTTATGTGTGGGCAAAAAATAGTTATTTTATGTGTAATGACATCACGCAACACACTAAATTCCTGAGCAGAGTAAACACACCATCCGTAAGTAATGTGTGTAAGAAGGGAACGTCACGTGATCTACAGCGCCGTATAATAAAGAAAGTAAAATAAATCTCTGTGTGTTTGTTAGTAATAATAATGACAACATGTTCCTATATATCAAGGGTGACATGACGTATGGAAATCCTTTTAACAATACGGCCCTTCAGTAGTGCATGTGCATAGCATGTTTAGTTACAAACGTTATATACTCACACAGTTGATACTACACAGGTACATCAGTACAGTTATTTCAGGTAATTCTTCCTGAAAACATTTACATGTCGGCATTTCTAGCATTGTTTAACCAATTATACAACACAGAACAAAAACAAGTTAGAGACTGTTTATAGTTTCAATAGCTACAAAGCATGCGAACCGGCTTTTATACATGAAGAACGGAAAAATCTAAAGGTCATAAGCTTGTGTAAAAGCACCAGGCACTTTAACTGCGCAGGCAATACTGAGTACATATGTTATTTGACTTTAATCGTGTTTTAAGCCATTTATCAACAATATTTCGTAGGGTTGTCTGTTTAAAATGAAACCAAAGTGACAGTCACTTATACGTGTTGCTTAGACCAGATAACACAGACACAGGTCTGGAGTCATCTGCTTTAAAATGGGGCCGCCCTCGGCCCTTTTCTACTATGTTGGAACTCAGATATGAGTTTTCTGTCTCAGACTTATCAACTCGGATAAATTCGACTTCCCTGTCAATGTTAGCACCAGTGTTACAGAAATAAAACAAACTTTATTGGATAGCTTTAATTAGACTATTGTAATTGTAACCAAACATTCACCTCCTCCGAGGGTTTTTTTCTCAGAGAAAGGCTCGAGGTGTTCCGGATGTTACCTTTAC